TGCTGCATTTGCACATATCACATTTGTTTCTTAAAATAGCTGGTGTTGAATCAACACAATTAGCACAACCTGATGCAAATGCACTAGGTATAATAAATACAGCTAGTTTCTCATAAATATTCTGAACAGTGTCTTACAGACGGCCCTACCCACCAGCTCTTCTGTGACAAGCTGATGTCTGTTTGTTAGAATATAAACTAACTACTAGCTCAACCTTTCAGACACTGTGCAGCTGCCTTGCTGTTGACGGGAGATAGTTGGCAGCTCTGGCTCTTGGACATAGCATCAGCTCAGGTCCAGTAGGTCAGATGCGGATTTAAAATAAACCTGTCAAAAGGACAAATAAAGCCTTATAACAATACAATCTTAACAATCATTTATCCTGTAACTCTTTTTAAAATGAATTTCCTGTATGCTTGGGGAGAGTTTCTAAAGATTTACTTTATTTGGGCAGCATTTTAGAGCATTTAGAACTTAAAGATTCTTCAACACAGTCTTAACTTCGAAATGGTTTCTCTGTAGTTCCTAAAATAATTGAATGAAAATCAATTTCAGAATCCTCTGGCATTCATTCAAGAGGCTACTCTTTACGTATGAGTGCAGACTGTTTTATCTCTCAATTGATTAAGAGATATTGAGAGATGGAACAGTATAATATTTCTTTACTTTGGGACCAGTCAGTTGGACTACTATAGGCTTTTCCACTCCTGCACATTCTTCTCCAAAATAAGATAGATTTATCTGCTTTCAGTTATTTGGGGAAAACTGAAATAAAAACAATAGCCGATAAACAGTCAATCCACTTTATAGTATATCCTGCGTAATGCTTTCAGATGCCTCAGCGACATGCTAAGGCGCTATATCAAATGCAAGGATTATTATTATTATTATAACGTCATTTATAAAATCATATTATATTTAAAACGTTAGTGTTGGGATAGTCAGAAAATTCTGGGGACATTGCACAGCAACATATTGGATGTATAGAGTTACTATCACACAGATTCAGGCCCAGAGATAAATACCTTTGAGACATTTCATTTGATTTTCTTTGTGCATGGACAAAAGTAGCGTGCATCAGTTCCGAAATCAACCCAATCCATCCATAAAACACAGTTTGCAAAGTTCCCATTGTACCAATAACAGGTGGTGTTTAAGCCCCATGTTGAGCTTCTTGGTTATCCTAGAAAAGCTCTTCAGTCTGACACACTCTGCATCACTTCATGATGGCTGAAATTCCAATTCACCATGCCCTTACCCACTGTGGTTCAACAACAACTTGCATTTATATAGCGCTTCTCACGCGGGTTGAGTGTGAGGGATGCTATGCAGAACTTAAGCGCTCTGGGACGCTACCCTGCATGAAGGGTGCTATATAAATGCAAGTTGTGGTTTGTTGATGTTGAGTGGTTGCAAATTACTTGCTTTTCTCTGCTGGAAATCCTGGTGCTGACCTTATTTAACTTGAACGTATTTATTGATTCCTTGTTTATTTCTCTTGCCATGTGCTTTAGGCAAAGGCAGCTTGAGCTTGCCTTGTGCATCAGCTCATTGTTCTACCCACTCATTCATGCTCATTCAGTGCATCTTTCTAAACTGATAGACTTATAGCAAATAACTACTTTTGACAATTCTTATGCAGCTGGGATCAGCATTCCCATTAGCAATTTAGCTTACAGTTATTTTTCTGATCATCAGCATAAAAACATACAAAATGCTACACGAAAAAAAGACCATGGTCCATCTAGTTCACCTTCCACCTTCCTGGCGCTCGCATGCACCTATGCCCCGAACTACCTATGTACTATATCCCATAATGTTATTTGCTAAATGAAGATCAGTGTTTGAAAGAATCAACACTTCCTGCTTCAACCGTCTCCCTAGAGAGCCTTTTCCACAGGTTTACTATTCGCTTGCTGAAACAGCGTTTCCATAGATTCGTTCTTAATTTACCCCCATTTCAATCGCAGGCCATGTCCTCTGGTTTTCCTATTCTGGACTAGTTGAAACAGCTTGTCATGATCTACATTGTCTAGCCCCTTTAGAATCTTAAATACAGCAATCATATCGCCTTCATATCATCAAATGTATTTATTTCCTATTCTAAAGATGTCTTGACTGCTTTATTCTAATACAGTCAGCAGGGGGTGGTGACCAAGAACAGGAACCCTGGCTGATTTCCCCTTTCTAATCTACACTTGTTGAGGCCAATTATAGACCAAACTGCTACCTTATTTACCCCTTCCCTGCCCACTACACTGGCAAGTGTTCTAATAATCCAAAGGTGGGTCAGGGTTTGCAGGAACTAATTCCAACTGTTTTTCTAATAGTTTGCTGTTTTATATTCAGACCCCACCCATCACATCTCTTTTTGTCAGTTCCCTTGTGAATCACTTCCTCAGCAAATTGCTTATATTACTTTATTTTACTCTTTACATCAAGGTTAACATCCTATTAAATATCACACTCTCCGTTAACGAGCTCTTCCACTGGTTATTAATTGTACATGACAGTGTTTTCTCTCAGCTCCCTCCCCCAACACACATTATCTGGCCAATACGTACCAGGTTAGGGCCCATTAGGAACCTTCATTGAATTTGTTCCGCAACTTTGAAATTGATTTAGTGGCATTTATTAATGAATTTCTTAATTAAGAAATGGTGTCTTGTGGGAACACCCATCTAATTGATATTTTGGAGCAGGATTCCCTTGAACTGAAAAGAAATTTGCTTCCATTTGTTGGGACGCAACCACCCTGACACACTCACACATACGCCCCTGTGTGTAAAGAAATACTGCAAAATTGACCTCAGTATGAAATATAATAGTTTTGTGCATATTTCAAGCAGAAAAAGTGCATTTTATTGCTGCTCATCCAAACACGGTTGTCTTTTTAATGGAATTCTAAGGCAAAATTCTGAATGAGTGCAGGGTATTCATTCACTGTGCCTGTCCCCCAGACCTCAGCATATCAGGTCAGGAGAAGATGAGTTAAGCAAATTGTGGTTAAGGTGACCTGGGTACCAGAGGGTGTCTGCTAAAATATCCCAACAAAATAAAAGTCACACATCTTCAAAAGAGGAGGGAAGAAAACTGGAGGAAATACACTGGTGACAAAATAACCAGTTTTTAACTGCACATTGTTAACATGACTTGAAGCAGCTGAGAATCATGTGGGGTCATTCAGGGCTGAGTAAGAGCGAAGTGTCAGTGGTCTGACTTTGTTTTAACATTCAGTGCCTGACCGGAGAGAAGATGCAATGCGACAGTTGATGCCTATTCATCTGCATCACTGCAGCATGCATTTACATTGTAAAATGAAATACAAGAACATCCCTGGAGGAATCACAATATAAATATAATAAGAAGGTTTGGAAGCTGAAAAGAATACGCAGTCCATTGACCCTTCCACACTTGACAAGCAGTAAACTCCATTCCACCCTTCCCCGACAAAGTGTCTCCCTCTTATCCCAAAAGGCAAATATGTTAAACTCCAGAATATCTACCCAAGATTGTATTCCACATTATAGATCCAATTGCCTAGTGTGGGGGCATGACGTGTTACAACAACAGAAACAATTTAGATAAACCACTGTGATAAACCACATCAGTTTATCTATATTAACTCTCCTCCTCAATACTTCCCTTTAAAATTACTCTTTTTCAAGGATCTAAGTAGTTTCTTTTTAAAAGAAAGGATTCTAAATTGAACTAATTTATAACAGAGAATTCTCTCTGTAAATATTTTTTTCACTTTTAATTTTTTTTGTGATGGTTATAAATTTGTTTCCTTTCATTTGCTGATTTTCCAGTGAATGGAAATAACCCATTACTATTTATACAATAATATTCTTGACTTTCACACAATCATATTCTTTATGAGACCTCATATTTTCTATGAGGTTTCCTATAACGTTCTCAGCTTTAATGTAGAATAGCCTTAGCATCATGTTGGCAGTTGGAGCCAGTTATTTGTAATAATAATAATCCTTACATTTGATGTAGCGCCTTGTCATGTCTTCAAGATATCTCAGAGCACTTTGCAGAATAAACTGTAAAGTGAATTGACTGTATATTTTGTGGGCAAAATGCAAAGCCAATTGCACACAACAGTGTCCCACAAACAATGGTACCTATCCTAAGATCCTTCAAACTCCAACTTAATTCCTAACCAGACTTGCAATACCCTCAACAATTTTTTTAATGAAAAACAAACTCTCCAAGTAAACTTGTATTATTGCTCAACGCTTCGATGTTTTGCTTATAGTCTGATAATATTTAGCACTGACTGGTGCAATGCATTATGCTGCAAAGTTATCTCGCAATATGACAATACGACACAATAGAATGCTTTTATTCCTTCCCAAACTCTTCACCACAATGATATCATTAAAAATAATGAAATTCCAACAGAAGCGTGGAAGGTATTAGAAGGGAAATCTAGAAAATGTTGACAGCCTATGTCAAAGCCACATGCATTTGTTTGCTGCCAGTGATGCAGTTAGTGATATTTCACAGCTTGTAACTATGGGAATTCAACTCAGTAAATCGAATAGGACACACAATGTGAAGGAATCCCCAATCAGATGTTCGCAGCATACTGAAATGGCTTGAAAGATCTGTTATGATTGAATAAGAACAAAACAAACTCGATGGCGACACAATCTCTTCCTGTTCCTAAATGGTTTTAAACTGGCAGCAAAAGCAGACTTCTCATGGATTTTGTCTACTTTTCCATTCTGATTTAAACCGGGTCTGGAACATGGTCTTAAGTTCAGTCACAATTTGGAAGCCAATTTTCCATGGAAACCAAATAGAACTGCAGTAAATTCAGTAGATTCTCTTTCTTATTTTCAAATGTCATCTGTCACTTCATAGATCAAAAAGCATTTGCTTTGTTTATTTCTAGGTTATAAATCTGTCTGTAAAAATGGAGACTTTTTTCTGTGATCTTTTCAGACTCGAATATAAATTAATTCTCCGGTGCTTTTCTTTTTCAGAGTCACTTTGTAGCGTGTATGACAGCAATCTTGAATCAGATGAGTAATCAGCATTACACTTACTACCTGGAACATTTCCAGACGAATTCAGACCTGGTTGTGAGTATAAGATCTTTCTTTGGTTTCCATGTAATGTTTGATGTTTTACCTTTGCTTTCCTCAGTTTTTTTAAACTCCAATTTCTGGGCATTCATAACATCACAACAATCATTCATAACATCCAGGCTTGACTATGCAAACTCCTTGCTTGTCAGCCTCCCAACTCCTCCCTGCATAAACTGCACATCATCCAGAACTCTGCAGCCCATGTCCTCTCCCACACTAGGCTCCGTGACCCTATCACCCTCATCCTCACCTGACTCCACCGGCTTCCCATCACTCAGAGGATACAGTTCAAAATCCTGGTCCTCACCTTAAAAGTCCTCAGTGGCTTCACTCCTTCCTACTTCTGCAACCGCTTAACCCCCTACCATCCTGCTCGCTCCCTCCGCTCAGCAGCCTGCTTCATGTTCCCCACCTCGCCCACGCCACTATTGGCGGGCGGGCCTTCAGGCACTCTGCCCCTACTCTTTGGAACTCCATTCTGTAGTCCCTCCACCTCACCCGCTCCCTTGCCTCCTTCAAGCCCCGTCTCAAGACCCTCCTCTTCGACCATGCTTTTGATCATCCTGCTTCACCCCCTGCCCTCCACCCTCCCCAATTCAAGCCCTCAGTTTGAGTCCGAAACACTGACTGTCCAGCGCCTTGGGATATCCTCCCGACATGAAAGGCGCTCTACAAATGTAATTTTGTTGTTATTGTTGTTGGGCATTACACCTCTTAATTGGACATATCCTTTTCTCATACATACCATCCTCCTATAAAGGCAAACAAACGCCACCTTATCTTGCTACTCCGTGTTCAAAAAACATTTGCTCATTAGCAAAAGAACCAGAGGAGAAGCAAAGAGAATTTTTTTTTACACAGAGATTTGTTATGACCTGTGATACATGGCTTGAAAGGGTGGTGGAAGCACATTTGAATGTAACTTTCAAAAGGGAATTGGATATGTATTATGTACTGGTTACAGACTCCCCAGCCAGTGGAAACAGCCTATATTTGTTAACCTTATCAAACCATTTTATAATTTTAAACACTTCAATTAGGTCTCCCCTGAAACTAGCGAAAAAAGGCCTAACCTATCCCATCTATCCTGATAGCAGTAATCTGTCAGCCCTGGTATCATTCTTGTAAACCTACACTAATTTTTCCATCACTGCTGTATCCTTCTTATATGATGAAGACAAAAATTGGATGGAATACTCCAAATGTGGTCTAACCAAGGTTTTTATTATACATTCAGCATCATGTCCTCACTTTTATATTCTGGATATGATATAAAAAGATACAAGTTGTTGTTGGATATAAAGCCCAAGACCCCATTGGCCTTTTTTATAGTCTTATCTACCTGTGCGGCTACTTTTAGAGATTTGTGGATCTGAATCCCCAGATCTCTTTGCTCCTCTTCTATTCTTAGGTTTCTACTCGACTATAGATGACTTCTTTATTTTTCTTGCCTATGTGAATTACTTTTAGTTTCTTACATTAAATTTAATTTGCCATATATCTGCCCATCTTGCTAGCCTGTTTATGTCTTCCTGCATTCTTCTGCAATCCCCTTCACACCCCACAATTTAATGTCATCTGCAAATTTTGACACTACACCTTGTATACCTGAATCACCTCCTATGCCTGTGAAATTCTGTAGCTCAGTGGTTAGAGCACTTGCCTCGCAAGCGAGAGACCCGAGTTTGATTCCTGGCAGGGCAAAAGCTTGGGCAAGTTTCCTTACTCCACACTCCTGATAATAGCCCCTCAAGAAAAAAAAACCAAATAATAATAATTTGTTCACTCAATCCACGACTGTTTGTGAGACACTGCTGTGCGCAACTCGCTGCTGCGTTTCGCCCACAAATATACAGTCAAATTCACTTTACAGTATATTCTGTGAAGTGCTTTGAGACGTCGCGAAGACATGAAAAGCGCTATATCAAATGCAAGGATTAATATTATTGTTCAAATCATTCATTCCAATTCAGTGAACAGTTCAAACACAATAAAATTGCTTTTAATTTGTGTCCTTTGCTAACTTTTTATCGCCACACTGTATTAGACATTCAAGCCTGTAACATTGTAAAACATTAATACTCGGTTTAGAAACTGAAAGAAAATAAATGCTTTGCCAATAAAAATTATAAACCCAGTGTTCTTCAGCTGCCGGTGAAAGAATCGCAATTTCCGGATCTTTAAAGTATTCACTATACAAATACAATCTTTTAGGAGAATCGGTCTTCTATAAAACATAGCCAGTAAGTAACACAATCATGAATTAAACAGTCGTATTGAGAAATCTGAGCATCTGTCCACTCAATTTTCTTCTGTGATATTCTGTTATCATGAAATTCAATGTTACAGCACAAAGCCAGGCCATTCAGCCCATCGAGTGTGTGTCAGTGTTCATGTTTAATTCATGATTGTGCTCATCAACTGTATATGAGCCTTCTGAAATTGGCCTTTGCAGCTCTCAATCTTTGCCCTCTTTTTCTGCTGTCTTGTTGCATCTAAAAGTAGCAACGACTTGAAGAGTAGAAGGAATGAGAATGAGTGGAAAGTTTCTCCACCCATGTCTCTCTCCTCATCTGTTGTTGCTTTGAGAATTCCCAATCTCCCCAAATTTACACATGCCACCTTCCAATCTCCTCAATGCACAATTAGGTGCAGAACAGTCAGGTCAGTAAAGACATCAACATCACTTCGCAAGCAAATTACTTTCCCTCATGACTGTTGCGTAAGTGGTTGGAGGATGAGGCCCTAGATAATTTAGACTTGATGAATCAGTTAACAATTACAGTTAGAAATTGAAGTTAATCTAAAAGTGATCAATGATTCTAGCTGAGAATTAATTCACGATCACATTGCAGCTGCCAGCAGATGACCTTTACTCTGCAAGCACTTTCCTCCAACATTCTCTATATTATTAAGGCCTGCTCATTAAAAAGAACAATCTCTCCATGATACAATCGCACAAACTTCCCCGAGAGACACAATAATTGGGGGAGAATATTTTAACCATGGACTGAAGGAAATATTTTCCAGCATTTGAATTTTTTATTTTTAAGGTTTATTTTTTTTAAGGTTTTTGTTTGCATGCAAATTCGGTGCTCATCAAGTTGAAGGATGTTAATGGTAGAAAATTAAAGATTTTCCCACTTTAAGCACCTGGTGTCAGGATCAAACTCCCTCCAGTCAGTTTCATGGAAACGTCCTTGTGTGCTGCACTACATCTGTTATGTCTGTCAGAAGAGGAACTCTTATTGAAGCAGAGATGGATTCAATCTCCTGCACCAGATAATCCCCCTCTGATGCCTAGTGTATATTTCCAAAGTGAAGTAGCATCATTTCCTAGAATGGAGAGCACAGAGCTCCACTAATCCGTCTTATGTTACTAATGAGTTTGTCACACGAACGCCTCTTTAACACAAAAAAAAAGCCCCAAAGTAGTATTTATTTGGAGTATCCAAGAGTGTTTATAAAAGATCATTTGTGAGTGGAGTTTTGTGCTCTTGAATTTATACCACAAGGGCCCTACCAAGCCTCTAGGCTGTCTCATTAGCCAATTACCTGAATCAATGGCTCCCGATTGCCCTCTCACACTGGGTTCAGGCTGAGTTTTGTATCATCAATAGCACGAGCATAAATTGGATGAGATGGTCAATTTTGCATCAAACTAATGGCACATTTTTTTGCTGTGAGCCTGCCCCAAGCTCATTACACACCGTATTTTCACACTCTTACAAGAGAGGAGACGTAGTGCTATGAGAGCTCCAGGTTCAAGAGGTGGAAGGCAAGTCAAGTTTTATACAGATCACAAGCAGATGGAATTTATTTTGGTGATTGGAAGTCCATTTTAGGTTCAGCTAATGAATATACATGAAGTAAACTGAGGCATAATAGTTCTCAATCCAAATACAAGCAGCAATGTGCATGGATTCTTCACGGCTGGCAAAACCATATGTAATAATTCTTGCATTTGATATTGTGTCTTATCAGGTCAAAATGCATTAAGAGTATTTCACAAGTCATTATTGTCAAATGATAATAATAATCCTTCCATTTGGTAAAGTACCTTTCACATCAGGAAGATGTCTCAAAGTACTTCTACTGTAACACATTTGTAGGTGTTTGCAGTACCTAATTTGTGCACAGCAATGTCCCACAAACAGCAACAAATTGAGTTACCAATTTTTACTAAATGTTAGTGGCTGTGCTTTTCATAGGTAAACGCAGAAGCTATTTTGCGCACAGCAAAGCCCAACAAGGTTAGTAACCAATTTTATTTGAGGATTGTTGGCCAGGATCCCAAGAGAAGCTTTTGTTTCCTTTTGACTCGTATCACGAGATTTTATAATCCCACTGAATTTGCAGAACGCTTCACAGCACTATCCTCTTAGAGTAGAGTTTGTCTGCAGCTCCAAACACTACTTAAAGAGAGGACATGCTTCACCCCACATATTACAGTTTTATAACGTAATCAGTGAAGAAGCTATTTGGCAGCCTGTCCAAATCAATAATGTACAAAGTGAACATTTCCTTGGAACGCACAGGGAGTGGTGTTCTATCCTCTGCTGGACCCTGTGTTTGTTTTTCACGAAGGTCACTGCTGTAGATGCTGGGTTTCACACTGGTTTAGAGATAAATCAGATTAAAAAATGTGACATGGATTGTAATTTGTGTTAATATCTTCATTAGTGAACATTCTGGATCAGCCGCTCACATTGCCAAACATTTGGAACCACAATCACCAGAGCACGGGATATGCTTCTTGCCTTGGGATGCACTCACACTCCAGTTCATTATAACTGAGCCACCTCACAAGATACCATCAATAATACCATCAATAATACCATCAATAATAATCCCTCCAAAAACCAAAAACAATAATAAATTGGTCATTTTCAATCTATGACTGTTTGTGGGACATTGCTGTGCGCAATTGGTTGCCCCGTTCACCCACAAATAACCAGTCAATTCACTTTACAGGGTGTTCTGTGAAGCGCTTTGGGACGTCCTCCCGACGTGAAAAGTGCTATATCAAATGCAAGGATTATTATTATTATTATTATTATCATTTATCACAGAACACACTCACTCAATGAGTCAGGAGGAAAGTTTGGATAAAAAAGGCCATTTGGCCTATTTAATCTCATTGTTCCAAAATACCCCAAACCTATAATCTTCCTATTATATCTATTTGCTCCTTAAATCCAGTCCAGTTGTCCTAGTTTCTACCGTCCTTCCTGATAACCCGTTCAGGGACATCTCTGCACCCCCTTATCCTGCTCCCTTGACATATCTGAAAGTGTTGTTCTGGGTTTACTTTCAATCATATTTAGCATCTTAATTAAACTATAAAGCCCACTCTGAGAAGTCTTCTTTAAAGGCTACCGATACCAATAAGACGCGATATGCAAGCATTATTTTATTAAATGTATCCGAGCCTTACCTTGTTGTCTTTGCACATTAACCGCTGGTCCAAGGAAATCTGCAGCTCCTGAATGTAAAAATGAACCGGCAGCAGTGAAGGTGCCTCCCCCCAGTGTAGCTGTTTCACATAGAGCACAATATACTCCTCAAAGCTCGTCGGAATTCTTTCTCCTCAGAAGGGGCAGTACAATTACCTGGTTAGGAGTTGTTAGGAGGAAGGTGCAATGTTTGGAAACAGCTCTATAAGCAAGAGCAATGCTGGACACAGCATGCAGCGCCGACACCAAGAGTACTGTATTGAAAGGCTGCAGATTTTACTGCCCGATAGATGAGGTAAACGTCAATAGGACAGCATGAATGATGAGTGACAGAACGAATGGAAAATGAGAGGAGGTTGATGAGGAATTAACGGCTGAAGCAGAACAGTCAGACTACAATGACACCTCACTCTGTAAAGCAGATAGCCACGGGTGAGAGAGTGCTGAATTGGAGTTCAGATTTAGTTCATTCATAATAGGCCTGAACAGTTTAATGTTTTTTTAAGGTTTGACTGCAGACTTAGGCGTTCCATTTCAAGCAGACGTGATTTTATACCAGGTTCCTCTTAGCAAGTTAGTTGCCAAAGACCCAGGCCACTCGGTCGTCAGGTTGAGGAAGGACGAAGTGTGAGGAGAGGAGGGACAATAACTCGGAATACATTGTGGTGAGATCGACAGCCAACAGATGAGGAGGTCAAGAATTTTTTGTAAAAAAAAACTATCAAACAAATTATCAAAAAAAGGAAAAAGCATAAGCAAGGAAGAAAGTGAAATGTGGTTGAGGAGTTATTTCCTCCTAGTCTTAGCCATTGTTTTAAACTAAGATTTCACAGGATTGCAGAAAATCTTCAATTAATTATAATAATAATCCTTGCGTTTGATATAGCGCCTTATCACTTTGTTGATACGTCTCAACGTGCTTCACAGAATGTACTGCAAAGTGAATGCACTGTATGTTTTGTGGGTGGAACGCACATTCTTAATTTAGAAGCTGGCTTTCTGCTGTCTCACAAACAAGCAGCTTCCAAATTAAGACTGAATTTAAGACTTTTCCACAATTCTGTGCCTTGTTAGATTTTAAGACTAGGAATAGAAAGGGTTTCAGCTCTCCTAGTTGTTTGAAAGGCAGCTGAAAGGTCAGAACACAATGATCTACTGAGCAGAGCTACTGAGCAGTTTGCGATTAGTATTTATATAAAGAACATTTCAGGGAGCATTTAATCAACAACATATATTGATCCTTTTCAAAGCAAAAGTGTCCACAATTCAATAATTTCATACAAATGTGAGATTCAATAAAAACAAAACATAAGAATATCAATATCAGAATGTTACATGCAACATAATTTTATGCCTGTGCCCACAATATCCTTAAAATGTTAAGAGTCCCTTAAATCAATGATTTTTTTTTATTTGTGAAAAAGTGATTCATCGAAAGATGCAGATTATTCATGGACTAATTTTCGTACCAGTGTCTCAGTTGAAAATGAAATATTTTATCGTTGTTTCTGCAGGACTTTTTTATGGAGACCTTCCTCCTGTTCATGGACCTGATTGGGAAGAATGTCTATCCTGGTGACTGGATGGCCATAAGTATGGTGCAGAACAGGTAGGAGACCTGGACTATGTTGATCTGAAAGATTCCATCTGCGTCTAGATTGATCTCTACTAATCCAGATCGGAATTTGGCAGATTATTAAATTCAGTTTTAACCTTGAAGCCCATTTTCTTAAAAGAACTTACAAAAAACACGACTTCAAAATTAAGGACTACTTGAAAATTCTGGAGGCCCTGAAATAGAGTCAATGTAGGTGGGATTGTAGCCACAACACCACCACACATTGAAAAACCGTTTCTCTTCCAAACTTGTCTTCTGACCTATTGTTCCCGTTAACTGTATTGTCTTTAAGGTTCTGAGCATGAACTAAATACTTCAAAGCTCTTTAAAGCCCTATCTAGATCCAAGACAACAAAACTGGGTTCTTCTCCCATTGTCACGTGACAAAAATCATTACATGGGATCAACAATAACAACAACAAGATTACATTTGTATAGTCCCAAACTGCTGGACAGAGTATAGCATTTCAGACCCGAGCTGGGGTTGGTGGGGTAAGGAAGGGGAGGAGAAAGGGGGTGGCCGATGGCATGGTTGAAGAGGAAGGCCTTGAGGCGGGACTTGAAGGAGGCTAAGGAGGGGGCGAGGCGGAGTGATTGGGGAATGGAATTCCAGAGATTGGGGGCAGAGTGGCTGAAGGCTCTCCCACCAATGTTGGGGCGGGTGGGTTGGGGGACGTGGAGCAGGCCAGAGCCGGCTGAGCGGAGGGAATGGGCGGGTTGGTAAGGGGTTAGGAGGTCGCAGAAGTAGGGTGGGGCAAGGCCATGGAGGGCTTTGTAGGTGAGGACCTGGATCTTGAACTGGATCCTCTGAAGGATAGGAAGCCAGTGGAGTCGGGTGAGAGTGGGGGAGATGGCGTCATGGAGTTTGGTGCAGGAGAGGACATGGGCTGCAGAGTTCCGGATTATCTGCAGCCTGTGGAGGGAGGAGTGGGGAAGGCCGACAAGCAGGGCATTTGCAAAGTTGACCCTGGAGGTGATGAAGGCATGAACAACAACAAGATTCCATTTATAGAGCGCCTTTCACGTTGGGAGGACGTCCCAAGGCGCTGTACAGTTGCGTCAGGACCTGTGCAAGGGGGAAATGGTCAGGGTGAGGGGAGGGAAGGGAGGGAGCGATGAGGGGGTAGAGAGTCAAGAGGGGAGCTGAAGGCACGGTCAAAGAGAAAGGTCTTGAGACCAGCCTTGAAGGAGGAAAGGGAGGAGGCGGCGAAGGCACTGGGGGATGGAGTTCCAGAGCCTAGGGGCTCAGAGGCTGAAGGCCCAGCCACCATTGGTAGGGCGGTTGGGGCAGGGGATGTGGAGCAGACCGGAGCCAGAGGAATGGAGGGTACGGGCAGGTAGGTAGGGGGATAGTAGGTCGGAGAGGTGAACAAGCGTTTCAGCGGCCTGAGGAGTGAGGTAGTGGCGGAGTCGGGCGATGTTACAGAGGTGAGGGAAGGCAGAGCTCGCCATGGCTTGCATGTAGGGGAGAAAAGACAGTTGATGGTCTAGGTTCCTGACTAGGTGGTGAGTTGTACTGTGCAACCATGGAGGTTGATGCTGCCACAGCCTGAGGTGCTGAGGCACTGGCGTGAGCCAATCAGGAGGGCCTCAGTCTGGTTCACATTCAACTGTAGAAAATTTGCCCTCATCCAGGACTTGATGTCCAACAGGCAGTCTGTCAGGACAGTAGTGGTCCTGGAGTTGAGGGTGGAGGCAGAAAGATAGAGTTGGGTGTCATCTGCATACATGTGGAAGTTGACCCCATGTCTGCGGATGATGTCACCAAGGGGGAGCATGTAGATATTAAAGAAGAGAGGGCCAAGGACAGAGCCGTGGGGGATTCCAGATGTGACAGTGCGGGGGCTGGAGGAGAAACCGTTAGAGGCAACGAAGTGGAGACGGTGAGAGATATAGGAATCGAACCAGGCAAGGGCAGATCCGTGACGATCGAGTAAAGCAGAGAGGTGGTGTATGAGGATGGAGTGGTCGACAGTGTCGAAGGCGGCAGAGAGGTCGAGGAGGACAAGGAGGCAGAGGGAGCCCTGATCACAGATGTTCAGAATGTCATTAGTGACTTTGACCAGTGCTGTTTCCGTGCTGTGGGGTGTCGGCTGTGTGTTTAGCATTGGGCCTAAACTGAAACAAAACAGTGGGAGAAGGTGAAACATGTAAATATAAAACAAAATTCTTTCTACAAATATTTTTGTAAACGTGATGCTATCCATTAGATACATATATCCATTACAATAGCACTGGAAGGGCATTAGAATAGATTTATACCGACCTGATAGAAAGGAGGAAGGGAGCATATGTGGAGTATAGGACGTAGACCTGGGCCATCATCACCATAAGGTCTAGTGGGACATCCCATCATAAACACATAACAATAGTAATCCTTGCATTTGATATATATATTATATATATATTTGATATAGTGCCTTATACAGAATGTACTATAAAGTGGACAAAACTCGGCAGCCTATTGCAGTGTCCTGCAAACAGTCGTGGATTGAGCGACCAAATTATTTTTGGGGAACGGATTATTACCCCAGGAAAAGCGATCCGCCAGTCGACTAACAACCGGATTCCTAATTACTGCTCGGATTTGCTGGTCTCATCCTTATCGTCTAGATTTTACTATGTACCGCTTTAGCCAACAGCACATACTGAACTCATCAATAAATCCAATTCCATCACGTTGAGGCCAATAAACCGAAGAGCCAGCTATTCTAGAGTTGATCAGTAATCAAGTGCTTTCTAAGGTTAAATCCTACCTGTCAGTTTACCGCCAAATGAAATGCACTTAAAATGACAGAGCTGAAACCAATGGAGTCATGAAATGAATAATGCAAAGATTCTGTACAGCTACTTTCAAGGAAAGCACCAACTCGCCAATATCAATTAATTAAAGCTAATTGTCTCTCAATCCATCTTGATCACCTCAGATTAAAAAAGTGAGACACTGTGAAAGCAAATGCACCCAAGAAAAACAATGAGACAGTTGCACTGCATATTTAACCTCTTAACTACCCTACAGCAGACTCTTCACACACACATTATAACCTGTCAATAACAGATATGCAATAACACCTTGATTACCTGCTGTATCAGAGAACCTCATCTCCCCTGCCTCTCCCATAATCAAATTTCTGATGTATACACCCAAAACAATTGATTGCAAATGCCAGCGATGAGACGCACTCAGCTACAACTTTCCTTTTGTGGCACCACAAGACGTCTCATTAAAAATGAGCCATTTTATCCCAACTGGCTTTGTGCCAGTCACTTTCTCAGCACTTAATGTTCACCAGTACTGCATGCCATTTATTTTATTTGTACTAGTGCAATGTTTTATCCCTCTTCCCAATTATCATAGGCATCACAAAGCCAAATAATCCAGGTACAATCGTACAGATGTAAGTCACATTGAATAGTTACAATTCACAGCTCAAAGGGTTATTCAGAATTTCCCTTGTAATAAGGCATACTAGCAATTCACTTAAACATGAACTTCGAATTCACATGAACTCGAATCATATGAGGAAACCAAGATCTCTCCTCTCTCTTGCTTCCAAAGACTCATTATACAGTAAAATCAGGATGTCAGTTCACCTCAGTTAATAGCACACTCATTTCTGAGTCAGAAGATTGTAGGTTCAACCCCCACGATGGACTTTGAACTCACAGTCTCGGCTGACACTCCAATACAGTGCTGGAGGAGCACTGTAATGTTGAAAGTACTTCAGAATAGATGCTTAAACAAGGTCCCGTCTGCCAGTTCAGGTGGTGTCCTCTTGACGTGAAAGACGCTATATAAATGTAAATTTGTAATTATTGAAGATTCGCTTTGTTATTGTTGTCGTTGTCGGCTGTTGGTGGGATCTTTGCTGGGTGCAAATTGAATGCCGCATTACCTACAAAATACATAAACACTCCACTTTGCAGTATCCTATTAGCCAAACATTCTGAGTGCACCAAACCAAACATTAATTAAGCAGATTGTAATTTTGGTCTGGATGAAGAATGCCCTTTTGCCTATTTAATAATCTCATGCTTCCAGAATATCCACATGACTATCTTCCAATTACAGCATGAAGCCATTTCATAAATATGTCCAACATCCTGGCCTCAACCATCATTCCTGGTCATATGTTCCATCTGTTTTAGCCATTTCTTCTATATAAAGAAAAGCTTTCTTGTGTCTGTTTAACCTTACCCTTCACAGCCTCGGGTTTCCTTTCCCTATCCCGCGTAGCACTGATTTCTTGATCTGGGAATGCCTGATGTTAAAAATGAGTACCTGAAATAGGAAAGTGTACAATCTCTCACTTTAACGAGCAGGCTAACTTTTCCTAACCCGGCTGCAGACACAACACAACACACACACACAAAACCAATAGAGAAACTCGGACTAGAAACCTTTCTCCTTCCTAGCTCTGGAAGTAATGGGGTCAATTTAGCCTCTCCTTGCAACTCCATCTGGATGGAGATTCCAACCAGCGAGCTCCCCAGTCCATAAGATGCAGGTCCATCCATTACACCATCAGGGCTACCCTTAATCTTACATTTTAAAACCCAAATAGCCTTGCAGTCAAAGACTAGATGGAATTTCATGCATCAGAGGAGGACGGGATCAAACTCAGCTGCGATATCCCTTTGCAGTCGACTAGCATGATGAGACTCCCCCTGAATTTGAATGCATTAATGGTCACTTGAGTCTGGAACTGTATCCCAGAGAAGGAAAAATGAATCAAAACACATTCAGTAGAAGAAGGAGAAGAAGAGGGAAGAGAATTGAAATAGAAAGAAAGGCAATGTTTCGCTGAACAAATCTCCAGTTCAAAATATTCTATGTTATCCCAGTATAGTTTTAAACATTATTTCTCTGAGATTCCTGTCCAATTGAAGTGTTACCATTCACTTCGTATGCATAATCAAGTACCTCATTTGTCAACAATAAACATAATTTTTATGTGCACCAAGACTGCAAAATTGAAGACCTCAAATTTTATAGCACCGTATCAGGTGAAAAAGTCTCAAAACAGTTCATTGTAATTAATGCCAAGTGCTGTGCCTGTTGGAAGAAGTTTCAACTAGGTCTAGACTTATTTTAATTGATGTAGCATTTCGTATTATCCAGAATTTGATAAATAGTTCAAATAAATCTTAACATTAAAGTCAGTTTTCTTTGTGTTTAGAAGTTCTTACAGCAAATTGACTTCAAACTTGAAGCTTTAAGAATTTGCCAAATTTTGGATCCCCTAAAATGAAATCTAAAAAATCTAAAAAATCTAAAACTCATCTAAAATAAATAGAGTATCAAGATCAAGATCAAGGTGGAATTTTTTTTAGTGATCGTGGAAGCCATTTGCACTACCAATTAGTGAATGACCAATTAATATAGAACAACATTGACCAGGACAACAGGTGAACTCTCTTCTCTTTTCCAATGGTGTCACAATATTTTAAAGTAAACCTAGAAGCAAACTTGGTTTTAATGTTTTGTTTGATGAACAGCACTTCCACCATTCTTGACTGAACACAAGTCCAATGTATGGCCTGTTAAGATACTAGACAACCACTGGTATTCCCATTGAAATGTACCCCTAAGCATCTGAGTATTTGAGAGAAAAGGGCAAGGGAATAAACAACAACATCTTGCATTTATATAGTACCCTTCACACCAGACTGCGTCTCAGAACTAAGGAATAATAACTGATGGACAATGAGTTGCATTCTAAGCAACTCCCAAGGACTTTGAGTGCTTTGGTAGTTAATCTCCTAATCACAAACTCAGGAAGTGTAATGAAAACACTTTCTCATGTCCAATATAGCTGATCTTGCCAAATCCCAGCATTGCACTTCATCTCCAGAGGAATGCATACTTTTATTGGGCAGTAAATTCAAGACATCATTACCATTGCACTGGGAAGGCTATCATTAGGAGCTGAGGAAATGGAACACAAGTAAAGACATTAAAGACAAAATATAGTCAATTCACTTTACAGTAAATTCTGTGAAGCACTTTGCGACGTCTCGAAGACATGATATTAAATACAAGGATTATTATTATTACCAGGATGGGCATTGTAAAATGGTTTTATTCTTTAAAGCAATGAGGAGAAAAATGATCAACACACGGTCAAAGAAGTACGTTTTGGGACGTGTCTTGAATGAGGTGAGGGAGAGAGAGAGTCAGATCCCTGGGAATGGTTCCGTTTGTTTTAGTAATAATCCTTGCATTTGATATAGCACCTTATTGAGACGACTCGAAGCGCTTCACAGAATATATTGTAAAGTGAATTGACTATTTGTGGGCAAAACGCGTTAGCCAATTGCACACAGCTGTGTGTCACAAACAGTCATGGATTGAGTGAACAGAACATTTTTTTTGTCTTTTATTTAACAAAATGACAAAAGTAAAGAGAAGGTTAGAAACAAACATCACAAAAAGGATTGTTGAAATGTGGAATTTTCTGCCACAAATCATAGTTGAATCAACGTCTCTGAATTATTTAAAAAATAAATTAGACTGCTGCTTGTAAAAGAGGTCTATTAAAAGGTATGGGATGAGATTAAATGATTTATGTGATGAAAAAATAGCATAGATTGTCGAATTGACTGTGCTGTAATATTGTGACCCTAAGAAAGCATGGAATGTGGAAGAGCTTGGTGCTTTCTGATTTCTTGTCATTGTTTGTAAAGAAATGACTGTACAGGCACCTAATTCGAAGTTGTAAGATAAAATAGTGCTGCTTTTCTCTGACCAAGGTAAGAGTTAAAGAGTTGAGCTTTGAGGATAGAGCATGCCACACACTTTGAAATCACTTGCACTAAAGTAATTACCTCTATTGTAATCTTACAACTTGTGCTTAGCTTCCCCCAGACAGATTTTAGAAAGGTTTTCATTGGAATACCTTCAACACCTCACACTGTGAGGACAATTTTATTAAATAAACTTCACACTACCAGTTAATTTAAGTGTTGGACATCACCATAGGAACAGACAGTCCAGGATGACACATCTAGGTAACCAAACTAACAACCAAACTAAATCCTCTCTGTACTCGGTGCTTATCCATCCAGCCTGTAAATGGGTGGGAGGTGGTGGGGTTGGGTGGGGGGGGGGGGGAAAGAATCGCTGGATCACCATCAGGAGTTCAAACTCTTGATAGTTTTTCTTCTATCATCCAGTGGGTGTTGAGGCCAATTGAACCACCTCACTAACTAACTCGAATGAAATCAGCTGACTGAGCACAGTTTATAATAATAAATAATAATAGGCAGTCAGTATTGGTACCCTCCTGATCTGTGTAGCTCCCTTTCCCACTGGACAGGGGAGAGAAGGGGTTAACAACTGACCCATATGGGGAAAGCAGCTGATTAAATCTATGATTTTTTTTGATATGTCAAGGATTCCGATCATTTATGAATGCAAACTGCTTATTTAGCTCTAGCTTGTGGTGCATTTTACATTATAATTATAATCCTTGCGTTTGATATAGTGCGTTATCACGTTGTTGAGATGTTTCAAAGCGGTTCACAGGATATACTGCAAAATTGATTGACTGTGGATTTTGTGGACAAAGCGAGACTGCAGTGTCCCACAAAAAATCATGGATTGAGTGACCAAATTATTATTATTGTTTATTTTTGAAGGGATTATTACCCTGGGAAAGCGAGCCACCAATTGACTAACAACCGGATTCCAATTTACTGCTAGCTAAACAGAGGCGTGTGGAGTAAGGAAACTTATCTAAGGTTTCGCCCCTATGAAGTGCTTTGGGTTGTCCTCCCAATATGACAGGAGTTTACCAAATCCAAGGATTATTCTTTAATATTGCAACAAGAGCTATACCTTGCATGCTTGATACAGACACGAGTGAAAGGCGCTGTACGAATGTAATTTGTTGCTGCAGTCACAGGAACTAATTACTGACTGCGGATAGTGTGTCAATTTGCCTGAAGCCCCTCTCTAAACCTCAGCTCCTCTACCCGCCTTCTATTTTAGTTACAATACCAAAATCTGCCTCCCCTCCCCCAGCAAAACCTCAGCTCCTCTACCCGCCTTCTATTTTAGTTACAATACCAAAATCTGCCTCCCCTCCCCCAGCAAAAGATCCCCAGAGCATAATGTAGCTATTTACAGTTATTGATGAGTTTGTCATTTTTATGAATGAGAGATCATTGGTTATTGCTCGAAATGTAAAGTACTGAGTAGATGGTTTTGAAAAGTGCATTTCAAAGCTGCTTTTCAGGGTTGTTTTTTCAGATAAAGTATACATCAAACTAACAAATCCATGAGTTAGCTGTGGCAGCTGCGTTTCGCCCACAAAACATACAGTGAATTCACTTTACAGTATATTTTGTGAAGCGCTTTGAGACATCTAGAAGATGTGATAAGTTGCTATATCAAATGCAAGGATTATCCTTATGTGAAAATGTGTTTTAATGCACGAAAATTAACAACTTGCTTCTTTTTCCCCAGAGTATTTCTCAGAGCCATCAACAAGTTTGCTGAAACCATGAACCAGAAATTCCTGGAGAACATGAATTTTGAGCATCAGGTAAGCCACAGATGCTGGATAAATTATCCTTGTTGTAGACTGACATTGCTGAATAGTAACTGTGGCTTCTCGTTTGATTGGGGTTTTATAATAGGAGTGTTTTGTTTTGGTCAGCGGGGTGTCTGATACATGCAGAGTCTATCCAGTATCCAAACCAGACTGAGGAGATTAAAGAACCAGGAACATTCAATGACATTCTCCTGACTCCTTTATCTCATTTTCACATGGAGAACAAATTTTGTTAGTTCTCCATGTGAAAATGAGATAAAGGACTTACAAGAATGTGGATCGCAAAGGCTTGTGATCTGAGGTATTTAAACAGGAGACGGACAGTGATTTGAGATGTCAGGCTATCCAGGAATTATTGAGAAAAGGTGCCTTAAATTACCTCCCAAATGGCCTAATATTGATGGGTGAAATGTTTAATAGCCCTGCTGAGCCAGGGCTGTTTAACAAAACCCATGAAAAACTCTGGACAAGCTGTGCCAAATCTCTTATCAAGAGACGTCAATAGGAACTTAGAAAATTCATTTAATAAGTACATTGCAAAGCTAGTGCTCCGAGTCAACATTGGCATGTTCACCTTTTGATAGAAAGTACCGAAAAAAATGTAGCATTGTAAAAACCATCCATTTTAATCACATGATTAATTTTAAAATATGTGTGTATTATGAGTTTTGTAAAAATGTATATGTGGAGGGAATGACAGATGCCCTTCATTGTGTAAATAACAATCAATAAAACATAATTTACACCACTCTCCCAACTGACCCCTGGATTCACACTGGCCAAATAATAGCTCCTAACCCTACCCTGTGGTAAAGTGTTCCTAGTATAAGTATTGTGCATAATCTCAATAAGTCTTTTTATGTGCACAGCTGTGGAATAATTATTTCCACCTGGCGGTGGCCTTCATCACCCAAGATTCACTGCAGCTGGAACTTTTCTCGCAAGCAAAGTGCGCCAAGATCCTGAATAAGTAAGTTGTTGAATATTGAACAGTTTGTGAGGAACGGCAGTCATTGGAAATATCAGATGGTCAGGCCTCAGGGAGTGTGTATCTCATCAGAAGGCATAGATTCGAATCTCAGCCACAGTCATTCAGGTTCGTGTGGCCTCCATTGGCTGAGCTGCTGGAGAGAATTTCCTGGTGACAGAAGTTTTTATTTTGGGGAAGGGGAAAGGGAGGGGGAGGGAGGACAAATCAAGCAATACAAAGAGTAACTTAGCTAACAGTTTGAAAAAGAACTCCATGTCCTAATAATGGGTTGAAACTTGCTTAATACATAGTGCATCCTGCGGGTAACCAAATTTCAGATTGATCTATTAGAATGCTGTTGGATGACTATGTCCAATTCCGCTTAAATAAAGGTAGATCGTAGCCAGAGCAGGGCTGCTGGTGTCTGCCAGGAGCTTAAGTGGAATTTCAGAGGGTCAGCCTGAGACTCAGTACCTGAAAGGTTTGATATTTACTAATCAATTTGCAATTCTTGCAAGTTATCCCCCAGTATCCTATTTGCATGGTGCCTGGGAATTCACTGACGTTTTGCTGAGAGATACAATCTCTCTTTCTCCCTCTCTTTCTCTCTCTTGTTGGGGGGCTGTAAATCATTCTACAGACTCTTAGGAGGGTTGTGAGTGTCAGGGACATGCATGTAGCCTGAGGTGCATTGGGTGTGTGCAGAAGTCGTGATGCAGCAAGGGATGGATTACAATGGTGGGAAAAGTTTATTGCAAAATATATTGAAATGCTTATTCATTTAGAACTAAATGAAATCATTTTTCTTAGATATGGTGACATGAGATGTCTGATTGGATTCGCCATCCGTGACATGTGGTATAAATTGGGTATGTGTAATTTGTTGTTGTTGTAAGTCAATTACGATCATTTCATGAAATAAAGGGACTTCCCACATTTAGCTTGGCACAGTTAGTTGAATCCTGGATTTAGGGGTCTCCTTGGAGCTGAACTGGCTCCAAGGTGACATGCCTGGCAATGGAATGTCGGAATCGAGCCAGCCCTCTGTGGCAGACTCAGTAGTTTGGTACCTAAGCCAAGTTGGTCCACAGATTCCAGAGCACTGCTGATGACAGCACAACCAGCCTGGCTCATTGGCAGAAACCTGGAAGGGCAGATCAGTCACAAGGGGCAGGGAGTTATCCTACTCAGCTCCTGTTAACCCTGCAAGCCAAAGCCTTAACGGGTAGGATGGTGTTGGCTGGACAAGCAACAGGAAAGCTTGGTGGACAGCAACATCAACAGCAAGCCATGCGGTTAGACTCCAGCAGTACCCCAACGCACACTCTGGGATCTCAAGCCTTGGCTCTTGCCAACCTGCGCCTAATACTTTCCGGAATTATGTAAGCAGAATGCGTCCCTCCAGGGAGAAAGTGCACATTCCATTCAAACAATCTATCTCTGGGATTTCCATGTGTAAGTGGGATGCATGAAAATCTCAGCTTGGTTTGGATACTCTTGAGCATGGTGATGGGTTTCCACGTGTGTCAGACACTCAGCTGACTCCCAAACCCCCACAAAAAAATAAGTAAACGTTGCTGTAACTAATGTTAAATCATAGTTGTTTGATGAGATATGCTTCAGTATTTTCAGTTTGTCTGAGTTTGTGCTTTTCAATGCATTCCAGGCCAGAACAAGATCCACTTTATCCCAGGGATGGTCGGTCCAATCCTGGAAATGACTTTGATACCAGAGAATGAACTACGGAAAGCCACCATTCCAATTTTCTTTGACATGATGCTGTGCGAGTATAATGTCTTCAATAAGTTCAAGAAGGTACACATGATGAATAGACTGTCAATCAAAGGTCTAATGTAGCTCAATTACAAGGGGCATAACATGGCAATCCAAGTATCTCTGTTACAAAGTCACCTTGTAAATCACACAAACATGGCAGATTCAGACACATCAGTAGTGTGGCTGGGAATGGTATCAGACACACAATAATGGAATAAATATTCAGCTCGGTGAACCTAATGACGGATTATTGAGGGCAATGAGCTCACTGGCGTATCGCTTTTCCAGTGGTAATAATTCCTTTACAAAAAAGTAATAATTTGGTCACTCAATCTACGACTGTTTGTGGGATACTATTGTGTGCAATTGGCTGCCGAGTTTCTCCCACAAAGTACACAGTCAATTCACTTTACAGTATATTCTGTGAAGCGCTTTGAGATGTCTCGAAGACATGATGAGGCGATGTATTAAATGCAAGGATCATTATTATTATAAGGGTAAGAATGGGTTGAGAAATATAAATCTTCCATGCACACACAATGGTTTCTCTGCTCCAGATATTGTGAGAAGGTGTTCAGTAGAGGCAAATACAGATTGAACAATTGAGATCTGGGGATGGTTGAACAGGTAGGTTTTCAAAAGGGGTTTAAGGACAGACGTAAGATGGAGGGATTTTACAAGGAAGTTTCCAAGAGCAAGGTGATGAAAGCGGAAAGATGAATTGTAGAGACCCAGCTATGCACATAAAGACTGCTACACATAAAGAGTTGCTACATATTACAGTAATCACTAGAGAATACTTTAAAATATTGTGCTGTAAATAAAGTGTAATACAAATGCAAGTACAAAAAACTTGGTGAAGACAGGCAGCATCAGCTAGGATTTGATTTAAGTTCTCGCCCACCGGGCCACAGCGTCAAGGCTGTTTTAAACTCCACATGACGAGGAAGAGCACATTGTTCCTTTGCAGCATGCTTGTTCTCATTCTTCATACTTTCTGTACAGATAAGCTCTTTCTGCTAATCAATACAAGGACACCTTGATGAGAGTCCTAGTTAAAGCTGGCAGGGTATCAAGAGTATGTTTGCAGAAGCACTGGGAACATATCCAGAAAGTGCAGCTATAAAATACTGGAGTTTTCAAAAGAGTTGAAGGTGATTCAATTTTACAGATTATGCATTTAATATCTTTAGCTGGGAGGCTTTAGGTCTTCCAGATAAACATTTGACTAAAATCACTCCATTCCCTTTCTCTTTCTTTCATTTCATGCATTTCAGATTATTTTTGTATGAGGCTGTGTTAAGAGAGAGCACCAATGACATTCAAGTGTTCGGGAAGTTACAATTATATTGGGGAACTTTGAATGAAGAAAGCTTTTAGTACTTTGATCTCATCCTTTCAGAATGTCAATCCTAACGTCAACCCATTACTGGCAACCGGCTCCAGCTGTTAATTATGACTGAGCTGCCAAAAGATGTAACGCTGTCATTAGGGAAACTCTTAGTCTTTGTACCCCAGCAATAGTGATTAAGCGTGCAAGTCTTTGATAAATCACTGTCTAGTCCTCAGAACTGCCCACAAAATGATAGACGGTCAGGTTAGGATTCTGTAATTGCGAGCGTTTATAAAATAAAAATAATAATAACAACAATGTGCATTTATTTAGCACCTTTAAGGTAACACTGACCTTGACAAAGTATTTGCTTTACTAAATTCAATTGATTAGAAATGAAGTCAAGATCAACATGGCAACTGCTCAGTACCACTAAAATCCCATAAACTGCTCATCTCAATGTTAACTTTAATTCGGAAGTAAATTTGGATTTGGAGAGGAATAAATCAGGTTACCTAGGGGAAAGATTTTGTATTTCTTTGACATAGAAACGGCCAAGGTCTCTTTATGCCCATCTGATTCATAAGGCAGATAGAAATAAAACTAATAACAAGATAATAATGAAGAAAATTGATAATCGAGAGAAGATGGATGACTTTTTCCTCTTGTAGAAGGATCCAAAACGAGGGCACAAAAGTAAAGAGCTAAAATAATTGAGTGAAAAATATTTCTTCACAAGGAAGGTTGTGAGATTGTGGAATGCACTGCCACAAAAGGCACAGAGGCAGAATCAATTGTGATATTTAAAAGCGAGTTCAATGCTTGGGAAATAACTGTATTAAAGGTCAAGGAGAAAAGGCAGGGAAATGGGATTAATAGGTCTATGATCTAATAAACTAGCAGAACAGGGTGACATGCTTGAATGGCACCCTGTTCAAAAGGACGCTGATTGCATGTCTGATCACACATTGTAGCTGCTATTTGTACAGTGGAGTTTAAACACACCATAAACTTTCTTTTAACAGTTTGAAGATGAAATAATCCTGAAATTGGATCATGAAGTGGAAGGTGGACGAGGAGATGAACAGTACATGCAACTCTTCCAGACAATGTAAGGTCCACACGGAATCAACCCGATGTTGGTTGCTGGGTTAGAGACTGGTTACTGTAGGAAACCAAATTCCCTAAAAATCGGGAACTTAAGTAATAATTCATATGGGAAAATCTTTTGAGTTTTAAATTTCGCATCTCCCTGTGAAAAAAAGTTCCTGTGGAAGAGCTGAGAACAAATATTTCAAGCAGTCATTTTATCAAGTCAAAAGAATTACTTTGCGACTTTACTGAACCGTCCCTCCTTTATCTCGGAAATAAAAATATCATTTCAATCATTATCTATGCAAAAGCATGCGAAAGTGTGAAATTTAAATGACTTTATCCATGTAATCCTAATAAACTAAGCAACTGAGCATAAGTACAAAATACAGCGCCTCTGTGGTGGAGGGAGGAGGGGTGGACACAATTTATTAAAATAAAACAGTGACTTCATTGGTTACAAACTGGTTGGTTGCTAATAATCCAAATATAGGCATAACAATGGGGCAGTGAGAGAATCCATTAATTGCTACACATTCATCCTTTACTTAATAGTAATAATCATAATAATAATGATAATCCTTATATTTGGTATAGTGCCTTTCATGTCAGGAGTACTTCCCAAAGCGCTTCACAGGATATACTTAAAGTGCAGTAACTGTGTCTTTTGTGGGCAAATGTGCCGGCCAATTCGTACACAACAATGGCCTGTAAACAGACATGAGGCGAATCACCAACTTTTATTTTGAGGGACTGTTGGCCAGGACACAGGGATAAACTCCTTCACTTTTTAAATAGTGCAATGGATCTTTAAAGTCCACCTGAACAGGCAGACAGAGCCTTGGTTTAACATCTCATCCAAGGCGTGTAGCACACCCCCAGCCCTGTAATGGAGTGACAGTTTAGATTATATGAGTTCCAAGTCCTGATGTGAGGCTTGAAGCCACAACCTTCTGACTCAGGAGGCAAGAGTGCTACCAACTGAGACAGACTGATACTTCCTCTAACTCACTCTCCATTCCTTCCCCCTCCCCCCTCTCTCCCTCATTAAGACTTCAATCTTACACTTTCTTTTTCCTTCAGCCTCCTGGAATGCTCCTCAAAACATCACCACATCGCAAAAGAGGTGAAGTTCTTTGTGAGCCTGATCCGGGGCCTGCTGGAGAAACTGCTGGACTACAGGGCTGTGATGAGCGAAGAGAGCAGAGGCAACCGCATGAGTTGCACTGTGAACCTGCTGGTACGTACATCCAGCTACCTCCCCGGACACCAGTCTAGTGGTGGAGTGCGGTTACAGTATGAAACCAGTATTCTGTTTTTCACCTTCCATAAGTGAATTGAAGGTGTTAAGGGCTAATATTATTAATAATAATATTAATCCTTTTATTTGATATAACGCCTGTAAGCATCTCAGAGAGCTTAAAGATATCTCAAAGCGCTGCACAGAATATACTGTAAAGTGAATTAACCATATATTTTGTGGACAAGACTGCATATTTTGTGGGATGTGTACAAAAGCACAGAAATGGGACTAAAGGATTTGTTGTGTTTTAATAAAATGGCAAAATAGCCACCTCCGGTTTAGTTCTTGGCAATATCTATAGAAGTCTCCAAGATGGCGTGAGATTAATTTACAGCTCACCCAATAACAGAGCCAGCTTGATAACATTTAAATAGTCGCAGGATTAGTTACATTCTGAGGCAGTTAGCTGATCGGAAACTGGGGCTTCAGAGACTGCGGGAGAGCAGAAATCACTCACACGCTCACTCACATATTATCCTGTGACCAGCTCCTTGCTGGAGAGAGTGTGTGTATGGATGTTAGATGAATACATTAGAATACATTAGAATATACAGCACAGAAACAGGCCATTCGGCCCAACTGGTCTGTGCCGGTGTTTATACTCCACATGAGCCTCTCCTGCCCTTCCTCAACTAAGCCTATCTGCATAACCTTCTATTCCTTTCTCCCTCAAGTACCTATTTAGCTTCCCCTTAAATACATCTATGCTATTTGCCTCAACAACTCCTTGTGGTAGCATGTTCCACATTCCCACTACTCTCTGTGTAAAGAAATCTCTTCTAACTTCCCTATTTGATCTATTTGTGACTATTTTGTATTGATGATCCCTGGTTTTGGTCTCCACCCACAAGTGGAAACATCTTCCCTATGTCTACCCTATCAAAACCTTTCATCTTTTTAAAGACCTCTATCAGGTCAGCCCTTCCCCTCCACTTTTCAAGAGAAAAGAGTCCAAGCCTTGTTCAGCCTCTCCTGATAGGTTTAACCCCTCAGTTCTGGGATCATCCTTGAGAACAGGATTGCAATAATACACCTACAGGACACCTGGTTGTTACCTGTGAAGCTGTCCCCCAACACAGAGCAGCTCTTTCAAGAGAGAAAAAGGAAAGCACTTGGTAAATTTAAACCCAACTTGTGCATTTTACCTGTTTATTTACAAGTATTGTATCTGTTTACAAGCACATATTTGAACACAAGAACCACAGGGTGTAAGTGATACACAGTGGGGTTCAGAAACTTGTGAATGGGTAAACCGTAAACAGGACAGGAGCTGGAAAAACACCTTAGGATGTTAGGTCTTGTGCAGGGAATGGCCACCTCTCAGAATGCCACTAGATTAAATGTGTCAAATGCAAGGATTATTATTATTATTATTATCTTGTGTGAGAGCTGAGTTCAACGTGTTAAGTCGGAGGTGCTTATCTATCATCAGGCATCCTTTATGCTGTGCATTTCCCATTTGAACCTTTTTTTTAACATCCATTGCTTCAGCGTAGAGTTTTACTGACTCTTCTCTCCTCAAGACAAAAAAATGTGTATCAAATACTTGGTTATGTGGACCATGCTCCTTTGATTTGGAGCCAATTCACATTCAAGATCACAGAGCCCCTGGTTGCAATCTTTGGTGGAGCAGCATGTGATGTTTCTTACCAAAAGGAATTGTTTCTGCAGTGCATTCCTTTACTGATCTACCTTCACCTTCTTGATAATTGCATTAAATTTGGGAATTACATGAAATAATCTCTGAAAGCTTGTACAACTCAGAAACATTTGATAATAGGTTTGACATGAACTAGCTTTCCAGTGGAACAACTGACAGATCATCAGTTTCTTTCTGAGTTATTTTTTGCCAATTTTTCCCTTCTTGATAACTTTCAACTCACCTTCCTTCTACTGAACTCTGGTTCCACAGACAGTGTCACCATCTGGCGCTGGGAGCTCTTTGATATGACACTGAAATGTGCCATTATTCACATGTGAGGCTTGACAGTGATTGTTTCAGCTATTCCATTGTGGGAAAAAATTGTAGCAATATATAATATGATAGAAATTTACATTTATATATTGCCTTCCATGTCAGAAGGATGTCCCAGGTGCTGGACAGTTTACAGATTGAACTCATGCTGCATGTGCCCAACTACTGCCTCGACCGATTTATAAATAGTGAATCCTGCAGACACCTGATTGTCAAGGACAAGTTTGAGTTCATCTGGCTCATTTCCAAGCGGTCATATTTGGATTAATGAATTCCAAAGCTTCTAATAACAAAGGTCAGAGGACAAGACCGACGTCTGTAATGAGAGGGTAAAGGATCAATCCATCTCAAAGAGTCTGCAAGGTGCCAGAAGGCTCCTTTAGTTCCAATTCGGCTTCAACAGAAGGTGGGAATGAGATTAAAAACAGAAGTCACTGGGAACGCTCAACAGGTCAGGCAGCACCTATGGAGAAAGCAAAGTGAATTAACGTTTCGGGTCGTGGACCCAAAGCGGTGACTCACTTTCCTTTCTCCGTAGATGCTGCCTGAGCTGCTGAGTCTTCCCAGTGATTTCTGTTTTTGTTTCAGATTTCCAGAATCTGCAGTATTTTGCTTTTGTGGGAATGAGATTGGTGTATAAAGCAGAGTTCTAGAAGGTCGGCTGCTAACTGCAGGATTTGTCTGATTCAATGCAATACAAAATTATATTTGTAAAGTGCCTTTCACGTCCGGAGGACTTCCCAAGTTGCTAACGATGATCTCATCCTTCCAGAATACCAATGTTCTGTCTTCCTATTAGATCATTGAGTTCACTCTGGGACGCTATCCTGTGTGAGAGGCGATATATAAATGCAAGTTGTTGTTTCTTAAATATGTCCAGTGTCCTGGCCTCACTCACCATTCCCAGTAAACTGTTTCAGCTGTTGATATCCCTCTGAGTAAATAAATACTTTCTGGTGTTCATCCTAAACCTGCCCTTTCCAATCCTGAACCTATGCTCATTTTTTCTTCTGAGTTGACATATCTGAAAGCTCTGTTTAGCATATACTAACCCACTGAGCAGTATCTCTCATGGATTACAGCTACAGTATTTAGACACTTGGGTCTGAAGGCGTTAATACAGCCTCAACTCCTGAAAATTGATTTCACAACACTGCTCTGGAGGGATGAAGTATCAAATGTATCTGTCAACTAACACCTGCTCCACTGTATTTATGATGTGACATGAGCTCGGAAATATTCCTTGATGATTGAAAGAACAAAGGCATCTCAGGTTGTTGATGAAAAGCTGATTATTTTCTAATCATTTAATCCAAATGAGTTTCTCCCAAATTTCCTTTGTATAAGTTATTTATGCATTGGTTATACATTATGGATTTGGTTTGGTTAATTGGCAGTGCTTCTGAGAGTGAGCGAGAGGTCAGCTGGTTGAGAGTTGCCAGCTCTTCACCTTCTCAAGCACGCAGTCCTTGTTGGAGAGGCCAAAGCCATGACCAATTATAATCTTTGCATTTCATACAGCACCTTATTAGTCGCTGAATGTCTTACAGAGCTTCAGAAGACTTTTACAAAAAAGGGTACTGACTAAATATTTATAGGCGAAAACGGCAGCCAGTTTGGGCACAACAATGTCCTGTGAACAACCATGAAGAAAATTATTAATTTTATCTGGGGGATTGTTGGCTAGCACACTGGGACAAACTGATTTCTGTTTTCCAATAGTACCGTACTATCTTCAATGTCCACCTGAACAGGCAAACAGGACCTCAGTTTAACCCTTAACGTCCCATCCGAAGGACGGTATGGCTGACAATGCCCCAGCACAGAAACGGAATCTGAGCCTATGAGCTCAAACTCCCAATGTGGGGCTTGAACTGAAACCTTTGAACTCAATGGTGAGAGTGCTACCAATTAAGTCAGCTGACACCTAATGCAATAGATTCCCCAGTGCACAGAATCAGTCAATATACACTAACCCACCATCATTTTTTCCCTCATCTGAAATACAATTTAACATGTATGCAGCGCTTTTCCCATTAAAAAAAACTCAAAGTGCTTTACAGAATGACACTATTAGGAAATACATGCCTGCTATGATGGAAGTAAATATAGTACTTAATTTTCTGCTTGCAAAGTCCTACAAAATATAATCATATGACAAGCCAATTAGTTTGAATTTGGAAGAGGAGGGAATATAAACCAGGATAAGTTGGAGAAAGCTCACTCTCTGGGGGGTAAGTTTTTAATTTCCATCTGAATCACAAAGCAGATGGGACCCAAATTAATTACTCAATTGAAAAAGGGCCGATGATCTGGAAATAAATAATAAATAAAGAAATGTATTTAATATAGAATATAGTTATGTGGGCAAATGCGACAGTAATGAGATGAATAATAATAATAAATAATAATAATCCTTGCATTTGATGTAGCGCTTCTCACGTCTTCTGGACATCTCAAAGTAATCAAGTTGAATTGATTGTTTTGGACAGGATTCAACATATTCCTATTTAATGAAGTGCAAGAGCGAAAAGGAAAAGATTGAATTTAATTCAGTCAGAGAATTTTGTTCACTTGAAGGATACATTCTCAACACAGGAATGCACAAATTCAAACAGACACAAAATCAGGAAGACACAAGTTCAGAGAAGAACATTGCTTGCTCTCTCATGTCCCTAATCCTTATCACATCACATATCATTCTATTTCCCTTTGTAATTTCTCAAAGGAATGCCTTACCAATAATTAATTTTCTGGTATGCTGGTCTGCATAAAAATATTCACTTCATTTCTAACCAATCTTATTCTGTAAAATGCTTGGAAACATTAATTCTATATGAAAGATCCTTTAAAAATGCAAGTTGTTCAGTTTTGGTGTGGTGCTATAAATAACAGCAAATGAAGCCATTCAACCCAACGTGCCCTTGCTTACGCTGGCTATCTGGGATTAGCCCATTCCACTTCTCTTCCCACATCCTCTTATATTGTTCCTCTTTGACGTGTCAACATGTCTTCGCAATTTAAACACGATGGACAACCTTATATTGACACTAATTGGAACTGGTCCCAATCTGGATATGAAAACAATGTGGATATCAGGTCATCACATGTAATATAATGTACTGTAATTATTAATAAAAAAATTAACTTTAATATTTTATGTTTGCCTCTAGAATTTCTACAAGGACATTAACCGTGAAGAGATGTACATTAGGTAAGTGAATAACAGCATTTGGCTCTTATAATTCTTCATGTACTGCAACATGTACTTCATGTACTGTACAATACTACATTAACACATTGCTGTGTGGAGAAAGGGAGGGTAAGAGGAGGAAAGTATTCGTGGGGGAAAGTAGGGAGTGGGGTGCTTGTGGGGAAGGTAATAGTGAGTGCTCAAGAGACAGTGCCCTTTGTACTTCAGATCCTAAACCACAAATAACAAATACATATACAGTTCAAACAGTAAAACAGCAAATTAGAAACTTAGCAAATACACGAGAAACTGACAGTAAGCACACAGCACCAGAGGCTAGATTCACATAATACAGATAATCTCATTAACATGTTACATCTCATCAATTCCTCTTCTCCCCTTGTTGACCTTTATTACGATTCACTTAAACTCTCTCTCAGCACCCCGCCGTGCATTTTAGAAAGTTGAACCCACAGGAAGTCCAGAGGCTATATGCTCAGCGCACAGAGGATCCGGATGAGTACAGAATACTTGGTGATGAAATCTGCTACTTTGATCAGTCCCATCCTGAATGATAAAACTAAAATATTTATTTTCTGTCACATCACTAAGTAGAGTGTAGAAAAATTCAGACTGCCATCAAGTTAATGAGCAGTCACTGAAATCAGCATTCCGTCACATAATCCTCAAACCAGAGATATTATTTGTTCTTTAGCTTTGTGTAGTTACAACAAGTACAGCAAGAATATCTGGGGGGGAAGCTCTTCCAATACTTTAAGAAGTACTGAACCAGGATACAAGAAGTAGGACATGAACTGCATTCTTTCCCTGAAGCAAATTTTCATGATAGTGAGGATTCCCACTTTCCAGCTCTTTCATTCTTTTGGCAAGGTCTTATAGGGAAAGAATGGGGAAAGTAATGGAAAGTGCAGTTCACTATAAAATGTGCTAATAACAGTGTACGGACACAGTGGCCTCCTTCTGTGCTGAACATGTCTATGTTTCCTCACTCCCTGCTCAGAGCAGCTCTACTGAAGACCATGGGACGGGATCCTCAGAGAACAACATAAGAAATTTGCATTTAGTGCTAATTTAGAAGCCGGTTCTCTTTAAGATCTACATTCTGGATCTCTTTCAGAACTACCGCTTCCAAATTAAGACTGAATTAAGAATTTTATCCTGCACATTCTTAAATTTAAGACAATGCTCTTGAAGATAAATTCCTTGAAATATAAGGAAATTCAAGTCTCAGATTCGGAACTAACAGTTCCAAAAAGTAAAGATTTTTCCTCACCAAATATTTTTCAGGTAAATTCAGATCCAGGGATATTCTCATCCTTCCAAGTCTGGATGTTTTTTCAAGGGATTTAAGCACAGACAGTGATTCTGAAATAAAAAAACCTACTCCATTATCAGGAGTGAATTTATAACTGCAAAATGCTCTGGGGGCTTTAAAACAAACGTTTTACCAAAGGATTTTTGTTGGAAACTGGTCCAATGAACTTTTCCTGTTCTCGATAAAAATTATTTATGAATCCAAAAGTGCATAAGTGGTTCAAAACCCTTTCAGTGACATAGCTTCAGGGAAGGCAGATGAAAATTGCTTTTCATTTTGATTATAGGGTGAAGATTACAGATGGACATTGCATGTTCCTAAAGTGGGACAATGAGATGCTGTTTCTCCCTCCCTCACCCTCTACTCGCAGTTTGTCACTGAATATAAAGGCGTTCTAGAGCATCAAACACTTACGCATCATTGCTGTATTTTAAGGCCCATGTGTGATCATTACATGTGATAACTTTTTAAACATGCAAACTAAAATATGCAACAGAATAAACCACTTACATTTATACAGCAGCTTCCAACATCTCAAATCTATTTAAAGATTAATTAGAAATGAAGTGAATGTTGTTTTGGAGGCAATACAGCAGTTGATTTGTGTAGCAACATTCTGCAAACAATGAAATAAGCAGCCAATTCATTTGAATTTTTTTTGCGGTAAATTTAGACAAGGAGACAATATAGACTAAGATAACCAAGAGGGAAAAAAGCAACATGTTTCTTTGAAGCAGCATTGGAAGTTATTTTATATTAACCTGAATCACAGGATCTAAATTAAAGCTTTGATCGAAAAAGGGATAATGATCTCGTAAAGACCGACAGAAATCCCTTTCTGGAGTATTCAAATGGATATTAAAAAGGGCATCGTTGTAGATTCCAGCCAGGTGGAGCAATCCACACAACCGCAGAGAAAAAAAATGCAGAATTAAACTCCCACATAAAAATTGAAGCCATGTACATTATAAATGACAACTCAGAAAGACATCAAGGCTGTAATCAAATCTAAGGGCTCAGGTGGCAGATAGGAACTATTTCAGACTTGTTGTTAAAGTTTGTGATGGAATTTGAACCCTGAATTAGATTCCTGCCTTGTAATCACTCTTCGGTGTTTCATACAGAACAAACATTCCTCAATAATCCGCATGCCTCTTCACAATGGGTTTTGTACTTCAGTTTTCTGTACATCTGAACCCTTAGCTAGGAACATTAACATGAAATCAGAAAACATAACTTCAGATTTTCTGTCAAGGCAGAATCATTCGGGATGTCTGAATAGAAAATACATAGATACTTGGAAACACAAACAGGAAATGGGTTTAAAAGATCTGCCATGATCTAGTACCCTAGTGGAAGTGGCTTGTCAGATTGAATGACTTTCTCCTTTTCCTATATTAGTTTGAGTTTCTTTTAATAATTCCCAACATACGAACATTAAAATTCCCGTCTTCTTCCAGGAGTTCTACCCGGACTTTTTTTCTTGCAGGTCTATTAGTGGCCAATAATTATAATTCTTGTGTTTGATATAGCGCCTTATCACACCATTGAGATGTCTCAAAGCGCTTCACAGAATATATTGACTATATATTTTGTGAGTGAAACGTGACAGCCAATTGCGCACAGTGTCCCACAAACAGTCGTAGATTGAGTGATCAGTATTGCAGAGCCTAATAGTGCTCAGGCTCATGATTCATCATCTCCAAACAATATGAGGCAGAAATAAACAACAGAAACACAATCCTGGGTTTATTGCAAAGTCCGTTGAGTCTATATCTCCATAAGTCACGCTCAAGCTGTTTCATGCTCAATGTTAGGGAACTGCCCAGGTGCTAGAGTTGACATTAATGAGAGCAACAAGGCTGATCCCCCATACCAGAGGGTTATCTATAACAACAATTTGCATTTACATAGCGCCTCTCAGGCAGGGTAGTGTCCCAGAGCGCTATAAGGAATGATTAGGTAAAATAAGAGTCTTGAGTCTTGAAAAGTCACAGAGGGGGACCTTAGAAAGTTATATAAAATGCCAAATAAGATTGAGAAAGCAAATGCAGCACAACATTGTTTTAGATAGACCAACATCCAAACTCTGGGTGATCTCTTGTTGTGGATCTCTGAGACCATATTGAAGAAAGTATTAAAAGACTTCATTATTATAGCTCCGCAATTGTTTCTTCTCCGAGCTTCTGCAATCTCTCATTATAGTTCAGATACCCAATCCCATAGATTTATTCACATAACTTTCATTTGTTGAGGATCAAGTTTAAGATCCTCGTCCTCACTTTCAAGGCCATCCACGGCCTTGCACCCTCCTACCTCTCTGACCTGCTGACTCTCTACCAACCTGCCCGCTTCCTCCGTTCGGCTCCATGTCTCCCGCCCGACCCGCTCTACCATCGGTGGCCGGGCTTTCAGCCTCTCTGCCCCCACACTCTGGAACTCCATCCCACGATCCCTTTGCCTCGCTTCCTCCCTTGCCTCCTTCAAGGTCGGTCTCAAGACCCTTTTCTTTGATCATGCCTTTGGTCTCCCTTCCACCTCTCTGCCTTCCATCACCCTTACACCAACCCTACCCCATGCTCGGGCCCCAACACCTGACTCTTCAGCACTTTGGGATGTCCTCCCGACGTGAAAGGTGCTCTATAAATGTAATTTTGTTGTTGTTGCTGTTGTACCCTTGCCATTGCTTAGGATGCTGTTTCAGAACAGCAGGACACGATGCTCCAAATAGGGCTGAATTTATTGAAGAAAGAAGCATTCAGCAGATCCCTCTGTGGTAACACAATATGTAGAGATTAATGGTTTGCAGCCTGTTGCAAAACATTAGACTTTTAATACCTCTCCCATGAATAATTATATCCCTTGAGAAATGTTATTTTGACAAGAGTGATCACTGCAACCATCTAAATTCTTATATTTGATTACATTTTCTGCAGCTAATTACACAGTGCTAATTGTGGGATGATTACAGTTATAGCAAGGGAATCTGTGTTCTGCTCCACTCCGCAGATATCTGTACAAACTGCGAGATCTGCACTTGGACTGTGATAACTACACAGAGGCTGCCTACACTCTCCTCCTACACGCTAAATTACTTAAGGTCAGTACTGCTCTTGATTTCAGGGACTATTTTATCCAGAATGAAGATTGGGATGGGAAGTATAGTGTAAATGCTGACAGCAAATTGTAATAAAAAGAACATTTAATGATATTGGATCTTTCATGAGATGTATTTGAATTCGATACCACCTGACTCAAAAAGGTGAGCTGTCTCTGCTTGCTGGGTTCAGTGTCGTGAATTGATCTGGTGCAGGGGAAGAGCAGGGATTTGGGATTAAAGTTTCTGAGGTCAGTGTCGTGATGGCAAAATTTAGGAATAATATATGTATCACTCTAATACTGGGATCAACTAACTCATAATGCTTCACAGAGATGGTAATTAATTTATATAGGACCGCCAGACATGATCGCAGACACCAATAAGAAGGATGGAGAGAAGGAAGGAGACAACAACTTGCAATTATATAGTGCGGGGCAGCATCTCAGAGTGCGGAGGAAGGAGACTGTAGGCACAGTCGAAGAGGGAGGTTTTAGGTAGCTCTAGAGAGGGGACAAAATAGAGTGATAGAGGGAGGGAATTCCAGACGATGGGGTTTGGTGACTGAAGGCTTGGCTGCTGATGGCAGGGCAAAGAGGACAGGGGATTTACTGCAGATTCTAGTTTGCTGACCAGAGTAGAAGAGTGAGGAATAGGAGAAGCTCGCAGATGTTGGGAGGAGTGAAAGCATGGGGGGAGTTTTAGTTGAGGGCGAAGATCTTGAAGTTGATCTGCTGGGAGACAAGGAGCCAGTGGACCAGCCTAATGAGGATAGGGGTACTGAGCACATGACAATTTGTGGGGATAAGGATGTGGGCAGCAGTGTTGAAATAACTGCAGATTGTGGACGGTGAAGGTCGGCTGAGGTTGTGACTGAGCAGCCACATCCTAGTCAGAGATTTCCATTCTACCATTTAAAAATTCAATCTGGAGATGACAAAGGCGTGAATGAAGGTTTTGTCAGTGCTGGGTGTCAGATTGCGATGGAGGTGGGTCATGTGACAAAATACAGAAAGTGGTCTTGGTCAGGGGAGGATCTGAGGGAGGAAAGGGAGCTGAGAATGGAACTGATTGCCAAGGTTACGCACTAGTTCAGTAAATTGGAGAGCTTTGCTGGGAAGATTGAAGAAGTCAGAGCCAAAAACAAGAAGTGGTGGCAGGGTGGCTTCCAGTTGTCCATGTACAGAACAACAAAGCTCACCCAGGCCTTGACATCTGACAGGTTACAGGAAGAGTGATAGAGGCCAGGAAGCTGGACTTGTTTAAATAACACTGTGATGCTATAAAGAAAGACAGTTTTAGTGGGTTTTCTGGAAGATTAGATCTAATGGGCCTTCTTCATCTGAATCTCTTGATTCATGCTGATAATACAGTGGTTTCCACACTTAATTCAAATTCCTTTCTCATTTCTCAATGGTGTGCAAACCTGTAAAGATATCCAAGAATGGTATTGGTAGAGGTGGTGGGTATGTGTGTGTGCGTGTGTGAAAGTGTTAAATATTGAACAGCGACCTCTTGTGTGGTTCATGGGCACAGCCTGAGAATGTTCTTATTTGTCTGTGCAGTGGTCCGATGAACAGTGTGCGTCTCACCTCATGCCCAGAGACTCCCAAAGCTCTCAGACCCAGCGACAGCTGAAGGGACGTTTGTATGAAACCATCATCGATTACTTTGACAAGGGCAAGGTAAGTAAACGGCTGGTGGAAAATCTGACATTGGTTTAGGAGGGTTTGATACTGGCACAAGTGGGTCTGCCACTGGCAACAGCAAGAACAAATTACATTTGTACGTCGTCTTTCATGGCAGGAAAATCTCCCAAGATGCTGAAAAGTCAGGGATTCGCACCCAAGCTGGTGGTCAGGATCAGGAGGGGTGGAGGGTAGGGGTAGGAGGGTGGCTAAAAGCACGGTTGAAGAGGAGGGTCTTGAGACGGTAAAGGAGGCAAGGAAGGAGACTAGGCGGAGGGAATGTGGGATGGAGTTCCAGAGGGTGGGGACAGGGAGACTGAAGGCCAGGCCGCCAATGGTGGCACAGAAACATCCACTAACGGCATGGGAAGGTTTATCCTTAGCGCAGGAGGGGCTGCTGCTGCCACTAGAGTGTTCATCTGGTAGCAAGTCTATGGGAGGGCTCATCCCTTGCACGAGAGAGTCTGCTGTCGGCACAGGTGGGTGACTGGAAGCTAACGTACTATTTCTCTCCTTTAGATGTGGGAGGAAGCCTTGAACCTGTGCAAGGAGCTGGCTGAGCAATTTGAAAAGGAAATCTTTGACTACGAGCTGCTCAGTCAAAACCTGGTGAGCTCCCTTCAGTTACAGATTGTTTATAACAAAAGAGGTTTCGGGGAGAAATTTACCAAATATTTTGGATGAACAATATGTTCATTCTGTGGCAAGATACAACTCATTTTCCTGGTGAATTATTGCAATAGTTTGGCTGAATATAGTTGGACGTTACATTTACATAGTGCCCTTCATGTCAGGAGGACGTCTCAAAGCACTTAGATTGGAAGTACTCTAGCCTCTGAGTCAAAAAGTTGTGGGTACAACCAGACATCGGGCCTTAGGAAGCATATAGTCTATACTCAAATTCTAATGCAGTGCTGGGGAGTTCTGTATTGTCGGAGATGCTATCCTTTGGTTAAGACGTTATGTTAGGGGCATATCTGGATGTTAAAGAATCCCATGGCACTATTTGAAAAAATAAGTGAGTTTATTTCCAGTATCTTATTATTCTTATTCTTATCATTGTTATTCTAGCCAACAATCCCCCGATAAAATTAGTCACTTACTCCATGGCTGTTTGTGGGACACTGCTGTGTATAAAATTGGCTGTCACGTTCACTTACAAAATACAGTTCCCGCAGTTTACAGTATATCCTGAAGCGCTTTGAGACATTTCGACGATGTGATAAAGCACTACATCACATGTCAGAATTATTATTATCCACGCTGTTTGATACAAGCATTTTAGATTTCTTTTCTATTTGACTAATGATCCCTGTATCTCACAGTGGCCTGGATATCAGTCCTTCAGATACATTGGTAAATCATGATTGGTTTGGGGACCTTGATGTGTTCAATTGACTATCACATTCGCCTACAAAGCATTTGATCCACTCTACAATCATGTCTCCAAAATCCTTAGGATGTTTGATGTGCTGTAAAAATGCAAGTTATTACTTGACTGACGTTTGGTTTTATTTGCAGAAACAACAGGCTAAGTTCTATGAAAACATCATGAAGATCCTGCGGCTCAACCCAGATTACTTTGCCGTTGGTTATTACGGACAGGGCTTCCCACCTTTTCTCCGGGTAAGGGCCTGGTATCAGGCTTTGATTTCAGATTTAACAGCTTCTGACAATGTACCATCATAACCAAATGATGAACGATGTCTGTGGAGTTGAGGGAGTTGAGTAAATGGTATCTTCAGCCTTGTTTGCTTCAAACTCTCCAACCTCACCTCATAATTATGTGACTTCATCTCTGGTATCATCCTTGTGAATTTCCGCAATACCCTCCCCATAGCTCTAATATCCTTTCTATAACTTCTGTGGAGTCCTGTAGCTCAGTGGTTAGAGCACTTACTTGCCTTGCAAGCGAGAGACCTGGGTTCGATTCCCAGCAGGGCAAAACCTTGGGCAAGTTTCCTTACTCCAGCCGCCTTATAATAATCCCTCAAGAAAAAAAACAATAATAAATTAGTCACTTCAATCCACGACTGTTTGTGCGACACTGCTGTACGCAATTGGCTGCTGGGTTTCACCTACAAATATACAGTGAATTTACTTTACAGAATATTCTGCGAAGGGCTTTGAGACATCTAGAAGATGTGAAAAGCGGTATATCAAATGCAAGGATTATTATTATCATTATTACTATAACTTGGCACCTAATTATGTAGATTCATCATGATATCCTTTCTTTTGAATTAGGTTACCCCTTCAATGACCTCTCTACCTAAATTCACTTTTAACACAATACATCTCAGCTTCCATGCGTGAAGGGCACTAAATGAAAGAAAGTTCTTATTGTTGTCGTACTTTTTTCAATATTAGCAGCACTTCCTAATGTCACATTAGCCGTGAATTTGGATATCATTCACTCCTACATCCACATCATTAATACAAGTAGAAACAAGAAGTCCTAATCCTAATCCCTGGACTACCCCACGAACTACACTTTGAGAATGTGAAAAGCACCTTTTAATTCATAGTCATTGCCAGATGGCCTGCCCTACTTTCCTGTTTTTCTCCTTTCCCATCAATCCCATGCGAATTAATTTTGGCCACAAATCTCTTATATGGAACCTTTTCAAATGCTTTTTGAAAGTCCAAATGTATATGGGGCAAAGGCAGGTAATTAGACTTAAGGTACAGATCAGCCATGACCAGCCATGACCAGCCAATGGCGGAACAGGGTCGAGGACCTGAAGGTACTCCTATTTCTTTGTTTCTGTAACTCTATCCATTACTCTTGAATTCTCCCTCAGACAATTCAATCAAATTAGTCAGAATCAACCTTCCCTTAACAAAAGAAATACTGGGTGTTCCTAACTATGACATAATACGCTCTGCGCATATGGAGAACGCAAAACGAGAAATAGCAGAATTGTTGAGTGTAATGGTTGCAGTGGTTAGAATATAGAATTCTTTTCCTCAAACCACTATTCAGGCTGAATCCATAAATTATTTTAAAAGGATTCCATAAGCGAGAGAAGCAGGAAGAAGATATCATACTATCCTTTAGCAGCATCTATTACAGACAAGCTTATTTCTGTGGCCTTTTTTACTGCGACTCAGGGTTTCTATGTTTTCTGTAAATGAACAATTTTGCTGGAATATGAATCTAGATTTCTGCTAATAAAACTCACCTGTGATGGATGTCGTCATTAATCCTGCCAGCCTGACCTTTCAATCGTTTTCATCAGGAATTATTTGCTGGTTTGCAGAGTTGCTGGTTTCTCTCTCAGGTGTAGGGAATAAGTATGTAGATGTTGACAAATACCGTGGAAACTTATTACTTAATTTAAACCATAATGACTGAATTGGGACATGAATGATGTATCTAGAGTATAGATTTCAAAGGCTCAACACTGCAATGGAGGGTGGTGCATGACTGAAGTACAAGATCACTGTAAAATAATTTGCTTTATATCTATGGGGGAAATCATGTGGTAGTTTCCTAACCCATTCCTTATGTTAATTGGCATTAGAAATGCATTAAGGCACTGGTGGCCAATCTTTATGGTCGGCAAACAAAATAACTTTTGTAGATTGAATATCTCTTCATTTATGCCATAGACACACTATTGATTGAACACGGACTTATCTAAACTCCTGCAAATGTTCCTGGCAGGGCGAAATGTTGGGCAAGTAAAACAGAGACGGGTAAAGTAAGGAAACCTGCCCAACAATTTGTCCTGCTGGGATGGGTGTGGGGCGCACTTTTTAATGGCCCTGTGGGCCACTTCCGGCCCACGGGCCACAGGTTGGCCACCGCTATATTAAGGAATGCCCCAAAACGTTCGTAGGACTTATCTTCCTTGTACTCCTTACACTGCTCTCGGCCTCCGATTCCTTGCAGACATTTCTCCCAGATGCTTGCCAAAGGAAAGAGAGCATGGGAAATCTTTTCTCATTTTGAATAGTGCAACAATAATAAATAATAATCCTTGCATTTGATATAGCGCCTTATCTTGCAATGTCTTTGAGACGTCTCAAAGCGCTTCACAGAATATACTGTAAAGTGAATTGACTCTATATTTTGTGGGAAAGCCAAATGCGCACAACAGTGTCCAACAAACAGTCGTGGATTGATGTGACCAATCTATTATTATTTATTTTTTCTGAAGGAATTTCTAACCCCAGGAAAAACGATTTGCCAATTGACTAACAACCAGGTTATTACTTACTGCTAGGTAAACAGAGGTGTGTAAAGTAAGGGAACTTGCCCAACATTTCGCCCTTCCGGGAGTCGAACAGAGGTTTCTCACTTGTGAGGCGAGTGCTCGCAATGGGATCGTTAACGTGCACCTAAACACGCTGATGAGACCACGATTTACCACCTCATTGGAAGAATATCATCTCAAACAATACCGCGTTTCCCCCAGCACTGCAGGGGAGTGTCAGCCTCGACTATGAGCTTGTAGTTCAATATTGGACTTCTTAATATTTGATTATCGGGGTAAAATTTGAAGTAGTTTCTATGCTCAGTATCCGTTATCACCTCCCTATCTCTGTAATTTTCTCCTACCCCATTCTTCTGCTCGCCCCTTCTATGTCACCGTCAGTGCCTGAAACTTCAGTTGCACTATACCTCTAACCTTCTAACCTCCCTCCTTCTCCCCCCCCACCCCAAATCCCAGCTATCTCTTTAACTACTTTAATGGTCTGTTCTCCTTCCCCTCCTTGTCCCTTGATCGGCATTGACCTTGCCTTTGTGAAGCACTCTGAAACGTTATCCTACAGGGCTTTATATAGATGCAAGTTGCTGTTTGAAACACGCAGGCTCAACCCTCTCTCAGGTTCCATGTAAGGCCCTTTGGGGGCGATTGCTTAGCAGGCCACCAAATTGCTGGACCCAAAGTCTGTTTCATCAGTCGATTTATATGTTTCTGATCTCACGTCCTATTTCGCCTCTCGCACAACTTTGGGGAAGTAAACAGCTGGCCAGGGTTGACACCGGGCAAGAAGTGTCCATTGGAAACATATCTGCTCGTTCAGATTGCTGACAATGCCACTCCTTCTCCCATTTGTACCCCAAAAAAAGTAGTTAATAAAAATATTTCCCCACAACTCACCAGTGTTCAGAGTCTGGAAACGCTGGCTTTGACAGTAACATTAGAAAGTGAATATATGCAGAAGCCTTGAAACAAGGACATTTGAAGCAAATCAATTCTGTTCAGACACTCAATTACCAAGGAATCATTTCAGGATAGCCACTCACCATTCTTAAACTGTGCGTAAATTGCATTGTATCAGTATTGTAACACAAGCATTCGCCCGCAAAACATTGTGATTTATGCGGTTCAAAGCATTTCCAGCTTATCTCCAACCTTGTTGAAATCAATCAGCATCCACACAAGCAAAGAACAAAAATGTTCACATGTTTGCACCTCAGATAAGCAAGCCAGATATGACAACAAATCTTCCCAATAACAAGTTTCAGTGGATTACAAGCAGTTCTTGAACACGTCTTTCTCTTTAACACTGGGTTCCGTGTACTTTTACAAACACACTGAAGATTTCTAATGCCCTGTAGAATGTCTGCTTATGGTTTTCAAATTACTTTTGGAAAACGTGTAAGAGCTATTTGATACCCAGAACATGTTTCTCATGCAGCTACAACAAGGAGTAGAATTCAATGATATGCCACAATTGTGAAATCAATATTGGAATCATAAAGTAGCAATCAGGAATTACTCAGATGTGTTAGACGTAGATTTGTCCTGCCTCGACCTCCCCAGACGTGGTACTCAATGTCTATAGCTAAGTAATGCATTCCACTTCTGGTTCGCGGAATTGCCAGTGGTGATCAACGAGATCGTAGCATTATGTGTCAGCCTTGCTCAGTTGAGAGCACTCTCAGCTCTGAAACAGAGTTTGTGGGTTCAATTCGCATGTAGGAACTTTCAGCTTATTGTCTGGCTGTCACACCAGTGCACTGCTGGGGGAGTTGCATTGTCGAAGCTACTGTGCCCCTCAAATGAGTTGTTAAACTGAGGTCTTGTCTATTGCATTCAGGTGGATGTTAAAGATCTAATTCCTCTAATTTTAGTGGTTAATCTAGGTGCAATTCATTGGCTCTGAGCGGTTTGGAGGTATCCAGAATCATCATGTTCTGTGATTCACCAGTGACTCATTTATAGGAAATAATTCTCATTGATCATCAGCTGTTACTCCTGTTATGTGGCCACAGTGGACAGATGTCCCCTTTATAAACTTACAGCTTCCTCTAAAGTAGAAATTCAGTCACTCTAGGAATTGCTGTGATATCCTAATCAGAAGCTGCACTCACAAATCAGAGTTCTCTCTGTACTTTGTAGCAAATGAACCACTGACAATGGAGGGATGCTTTCTGTGATGAAATGGATTTGTGAGGTGGTAAATATTTAAAAGACTGTTAATATATTATTCTGCTTTCATGTCCTGTACTTAGCCCAAAGAACCAATATCAGTTCCACTGCTGGGTTACTCTTTCCCACTGACATAGAAAGGGAAGAGAACCAGTCCTTCATATTGGACTCCTTGTTTGAAGATATTTTGTATGAATAATGCAACATTCAGTTGCATTTGAGAAGAACTCGCCTTGG